GTATTAAGGAATTAACTCCATACTTACGGGCAGTGTTGTAAAAGTGCTTCTTTAGATTCGTCAGCTTTCTGAGCAAATTGGGCAAATATGTCCCCACATTCTTTTGCTCGTTGTTTGGGGTTTGGTGGACATTCAGCATAAGTATTACTAATAACTGAAAACGAGAAAGAAATTTTATTGTAGAACGACTGTCGAGGTCGTTTTCAATATATAATTGTATTCCCGAAATTTTCCATGGTTTGACTCAAATGGGCTGCATATAGTGTCTCTACGTCAACAAATCTTATTTTAGATATTTTAGGATGGTCGTTGCAATACATTATTTAATTGTACTTACATAAAGAGAAGGCAAAAATCAAGGAAGTCGTCAACATGGTGGCAATCACTACACAACCATCCAACAACTAACTTCAGAATTCTTCACTTTCAGACTATATGATACCTAAATTAGCGGAAATGACGATAGGTGGGCAGATAGAAGTGTAAGGAAAGGTCCAATTTAATTTGCCAATTAATTATCAACTTGACATTTATAAGGGGTACGGGTATACCTCTATTTAATGTGTTATACAATTACAAGTATATAGTTCATATTGATTTGAAATGTCAGAGAACGACAGATGATGGGGTACAAGGCCAATGCCATTTGTTATAATTTGCCAAATCAGAACTCTTAGTATTGACCTTGAACTACATAAACATAAATTTCGAAATTCGAGTCTTGTAGGCACACAGTGGGGTTTCTGAGGGACATCCCCCTCCCCCTACCATACAAATGGTTACTTTAGTTTTAGCCAATATGATTTGTATACGTTTGTTCCTTAATATGTGTCAGAATGCACCAAATGAATTCAATTTTTTAAAAATCGTCTTGGGATCTGCCCCCTATTTGTACCCTCAGTTTCCTTAGGCTGGTGCCGCCTCTGAATGAACAATAAGTTCATAACGACTCAATTGAAATCAATTTTGACTGATATTAGTATATTCTGGGCATTGGCTAGTAAACTGCTTATGAAATTTTATATAAACAATATAACATCAAAAATCACTAGCCCCTTAATTATTGACCTTTAAAATCTACATAAAAAATATAGAAATTCTTTTTAGAACTTTGTATGCACAAAGTGTATATTAAGTCGATACGTTCTGCATCGAGTTCAATTGAAATTAATCAAATATTTTCATCAGTTAAGTCCCTTTAACTTTTCAAATTCATCGGTCAAGTCGGTATTTATTTATAATGGCATGTTCCTACTTGTGTGTTGTGTTTTGTGTTTGTTGAGCAGCTATGATGAGTGTCGCGTCATGCAGTGTATGCTTACTCTTCTAGACAACTGATACCATTTTTCATAATGATATACTTACTCACTTATGATTGATATACTTCCTCATATTAAAAATTCTTTAGCTGCTACCGATGTGGTGCAAGTAGTCCTATATGTTGTTTTGGATTTCGGGTTTCGTTTTGCAACTCGGATGGTTAGTATTTTTTATTGGCGTGTTTGATGTATAGGATAGGCTTTCTGAATGTTTCTGAAGCTTTGCATGAAGATCATAAATTTATTTAAGTTATTACCCTTGCAAAAGCTTTATTCTATTAATTTTGTCTTTTCTTCTGCGTAAATTTGTTCTTATTAGCGTTCCAAGTAGATTTAATTCAAAATGGACAAATTGAGATGGAGGTATCAGTTTATGTCAATGAAATTTATACATGCGTTTGTTGTTGGGCTTTCACTTCCCAACTTGATGTGAAGTAAATTGTTGAAATTTCAATCAATTACGTTATTTATGTGATTTCTACTCCTTAATATCGCTTTAGGATTTGCATACAATAATATTAATCCATAGTAGATTTAAGTTTGTGTACTATTAAAATGAAGATAGCGAGGAGATAACAATCAGATAGGTCAGAGAAACAAAGTTGACAGAGTAATATGTATCATTATAATATTATAATGATATAATTACACATAATAACCAGCTGGTGATATTTCAAACTTACTATTTCACAATGCTGATGAATTGTTTTGTAATAGTGTTATAGTGGTAAACAAAAACTTGGCATTTTGAAAGTAATTTGGCTAAAGCTCAAGCTTTCATGTTTGGAATTGCGCAAGCTCCATTGACCTTACACAATACTAGCCCATTCTTTATTTATAGTGGTTAATGTAATGTAGTGAGTGTTAATAATTGTGAAACATTTAAGTAAAATGTTAGAATCAGACACCCTGCTCATTGTAAAAATCAGTCAGATGTTTTGTCTTCCACCTAATTCACATGAGAAGATGAGATCTATGAACAATCAGTGGTCTACCTGTGTCTACCTTCAGTCATCCTTACCTGTTGGATTCTGAGAGCAGAACATTTTGGCCAAGTAGTGATTGCTTGATAATACAGCGGTTTAACCAGTGGCCAAGTAATAATGACCTGTTACTACCAGTGGTCCAGTAAGTACTAGTGGTCCAGTAATAACTCCCTGGTACTACCAGTGGTCCAGTAATAACAGCCTGGTACTACCAGTAATGCTCTAATAGCAATAACTTAGTATAGTATAACCAGTAGTCCAATAATAATGACCTGGTTATACCAGTGGTCCAGTAATAATGACCTACCATTAGTCTAGTAATAATGACCTGGTACTAACAGTGGTCTAGTAATAATGACCTTGTACTAACAGTGGTCTAGTAATAATGACCTGGTACTAACAGTGGTCTAGTAATAATGACCTGGTACTACCATTGGTTCAGTAATAATGACCTAGTACTACCAGTGGTTTAGTAGCAATAACTTGGTATAACCAGTCGTCCAGTAATAATGACCTGGTGCTACCAGAGTAGTATATGTCTTTTCGGATATGACGCATTTCACTTCTGCGCATGCGCAGCTTTTTCAATGCATCATATCCGAAAAGACACAACTGTTAAAATGTATTATAACAGACTCCCCAAACTGTATTATAACAGACTCCCCAAACTGTATTATAACAGACTCCATATAAATTACACAGACAAGAATCACTAATAATAATACAGTAAAAAATAACCGCATTAAAAATGTCTTTAATTTTGAAACACGAACAAAAAAAATTCGAAGGAGACGGTTTCTTCTCTGCGTTAACATCTCTCATCCCCAAAGTGGCCAATTTTGTCTCAAACAACAAATCCCTCATTTCCTCAGAAGCGCAAGCTCTTGGATCTGTGGCAAAAGCAGGAGTAAATATTAGCGATGCAGTGAAAAAATCTGACGAACTTAAAGAACTGCAGCTAATAAGAGAACTAAGAAACAAGAGACTAGAACGACAAGCCCTAGAAAAACAAGGAAAAGGGTTTAAAATCATTGGATAAAAAATGGCAAGCAAAAATTACAGATTGGATCCAATCTTTCAATTGTATGATCCGATTCAATATTCGTTCAACAAGAAGAAAAAGGATTACGTAATCATCTCACCATCGGTAGGGACAAAGACCCAAATAAACGACGCAGGAAGAGTTACCTTTGAAATTAATTCGTTGTCCAATTGGTTGCTGCTTTCCGATGCCCATTTCCGATACGATTTCAAAATCAAAGACGCCACTCAGAATCGAATTCCACAAACCAACACGACTTTAGAAAACAACTTCTTTCCGTCTTTATTCAGCGAAATGGTTTTGGAAGCTGGTTCAAATCCGATAGAGACCATAAAACACCCCGGCGAGTTTGACACAATGTTGAAAATGGTTCTGTATCCCAAAAACTACGATTCAGTTTCGGGATGGATTCCCGATGTCGGTGACGGAGAAGTTTTAAAAGAACCGGTCAGAACTGTAGCAAATGACGCAGGCCTTGCTAGGATAAGGGTAGTTGCTAGAAACACACTGGAAAGAGTGACTCGCGGAGTAAATCACGGATTTGAAAAACGAGCGCTTCAATACAACAATGTCGTCGAGAACAACAGATGGGGTAATTACGTTAATTGGAAGTTGTATCCTTTATTTGGTCTCTTGGAACACAGAAAGGTTTCCATAGGTTTACCGTATAAAATTCATTTGCAAAGAGAAATCAACGACAACAAGATATTCTTTGGTGAAAACAACTCTGACGCTAAATTGGAAATAACGAATATCCAACTTTACATACCGGTAATCACTCCTTCCGTAGAAGTGGAAACGAGAATATTCAACTCTTTAACCAAAGACATCGAAATTTCTTTTCTTCGTCGTAACACGGTAGGTAGCATGACTTTAACGGGAGAATCCACCACGTGGCCAATCACCAACACCGTCAAACCAGCGAGATATCTAATGGTCGGTTTCAAAAACTTACCAGACTCTCAGACAAACAACAACAACATTTTCAGAGTGGCATTGAACCATACTCAAGATCCCATCATTCGCAAAGTTCAAGTCAGATTGAACAACGATAATTATCCCAATCAACCTTTAACAATTGATCCTTCCAAAAAAGATTACAACGAATTGTACAGCAACTATAAAAACATGTGCGAATTGTTTGGAAATACGCCTCAGTTTGAATACACAGATTTTTCACTCAATCATCCAATCTTTTGTTTCGATCTGTCAGCTCATCAAGAAGATCTTTTCAAAACAGGGGTAAACATAAATATTCACATCGATAAAACACAAGGAGATGTGACCGGCTACTGTTTATTGCTGGAAGAAGCAAAACATTTGGTTAAAATATCAGATAGAAGAATGATAAGAATTGAATAAAAAAAACACCCTTTAAAAATGAAACCAGAAACTTTAGTCAAGAAAATAATAGAAGCTATGGAAACGAATTCGTCGACTCTAATAACTTACAACGGTAAAAAAGTGCACATAACCCAAAAGATTATCGATAAATACAATTGCAAAGTCAGAGACGATATAGACTTGGAAAGAATTGATGAGAATTTAACTAAAAAAGGTGGATTTTTACCTTTCTTACCTTTAATCTTTGCTGGTTTAGCTGCAGCCGTTGCAACTGCTGGTGGAGCTGCTGGGATAGCCAAAGCTGTCAACGATAAGAAAGCTGAAGCCGCTGCAAACGCCGAAGCACGTAGACACAATTTGGCAATGGAAAGAGGAGCACGAGGAGGTTCGAGAGTAGGAGATATATTAGGGAGGGTTAAAGAATTCGGACAAAGATTTGGCGAAGAAACCAAGAAAACCGTTAAAGAGGGATTAAGCAAATTAATAGATAAAATCGACACCGGAGAAATGAAGGTCAAACACAAGGGCGACGCCATATTTTTTAAAAACATACGTTCGGGCGAGGGGATCTTCCTTTCAAAGTATAAAGGCAACGGGGTGATTTTTGGTACGAAAATGTAATAAATAAAAATGGGAAAGAAATTTAATCATTCGGAAATATTTCCTAATAACCCAATGCTCATGTGTATATGCGGTAGTTCAGGTTCTGGGAAAACTCATCTCACTTTTAACATGTTGACAACACCAAACCTTTTAGATTTCGATTCTCTGTATATCTACACAAAACACCAGAGCAATCGTATTCCTCAAAGCTTTAGAATATTTACCAAAGAAAGATGTTCAAGACATATTTCAATATTACGAAGAAAACGAAGAAGAGGTGGAAATAAAAGATATCATAGAAAACTTCATTAAATCAAAGAATCCATCTTTCAATCCAACGGATATAAAAGTTTTTCTTACGAAAAATGTTAATGATCTAGACTTGTCTAATATTGATAGCAATCGAAAGAACTTAATATTGTTTGACGACTGCGTAGCGCAAAGAAATCAAACTGTTCAACAAGAATCCTTCACCAAAGGAAGACATCACAACTGTCACTGCATATACCAATCCCAATCTTTTTACGGGATGGATTCTATGTTCATTAGAAAAAATGCAAATTGTTATTTATTATTTGAATTAAACGATAAAGATTTATCTCAAATCATTCAGTCTATAAATCACGGAATGGACAGAGATACATTTAAAAAGGTTTGTAAAGCTCAATGGAGAAACCCAGATTCCTACAGACTCTATTTCAACCCATATTAAAATCTCAAGAGGATATTAAAAAGAAATTAGCTTTAGAACCCACTCCTCCTATAGAACCCAAACCGATTGAATATAATGGTATTATAATTAGGACATTAGATGATATAAAACGTCTTTTTTCAAACCCTGACCCAGATTTACCAAAGAGCATTTCACCAATCGTTGATAATCAAGGTTTATTGTTTAATGGATTTAGAATAATATTTAGTCCAAATTCCCCTTTATTCAAAATCGACACAAAAGACTTTATATTTACATTAACGAGAGGGTTAATAGATTTAATGAATGGCAAGGATGTTGAAATTGCCGATTACAAGGATTTAGTAGCATACTCAAATTTCTACATGCGATCAGAAAATCAGGACCCGAAACAAGAAGATTGAAAACAGTTGAAACATATTTAAATAAAGTTATTCCTGATGAAGAGAAATCAGACGATTATGCAGAAGATTATCCACCAATCATACAAGAAATAGACGAATTCGATGATATGGTGGCATCTGGACAAAGCATAACGTTTTTATCCGACGACAATAAAGAATTGCTTAATAGATTAGAAATAATATTAGCGGCCATGAAAGAAGGTCATCGATCGGACAGACAATACAACGAAGTCAATGCCATATTAAAACGACTTTTGGAGAAAGAAATCATCACTAAAAAAGACTATATAAACGTCATTAAAAATGTCCAATAAAGAACAATTGTTCGTTATCACCTCGAATAAACCAAACATCAAATTGTCTCTAGACTACGAGTATGAACTCGATCGCAATAAACAGTACGAACTGGGATTAAAGTATTTCTCCGTTTGCAATTCCATAAGAAACATCAACGAAAAAAAACAATCAACTAAAAATATCGACGGATAACGGAGTTACGTTCGAAACCATAAGCTTACTACCGGGGAGCTACGAATACGTAGCCATCAACGATTACCTATCCGAATACGCAGGAAGCGTGAACGGCAAAAACAATATCGAATTCGAAGGTAATTTGAATCTGAACAAAATAAAACTGATCTTGAGAAATAACAGTCAAGTCGATTTCAACGTAGAAAATTCGTTGAATGCGTTACTAGGGTTCGATAAACGAATATATGCGCAATCGACATTGGCGCCGCACAAGGCCAACATCGAGAACGATATCGACGTGATCAACATTCACTGTAATTTGATCAACGGTGGATTTTTCAACAAGCACAAACGTCAAATCATATACAGCATACTGACTTTTACGGTGCCGATAGGATACAGAATTATAGAGAAACCGTTTCAAACGACCTATTTACCAGTCAATTCTTTCATGATCAAAGATATAAATCTGGAAATCAAAGACGGTAAAAACAGGTTCATAGACTTTGGCAACGAAGAAATTGTCATTCAACTTCATTTAAAACAATCTTCATTCTCTTCTTGATTAGAAAGATAATCGAAATCATCAAATTCATAGTTTTCGTCAAAACTATACTCATCTTTGTCGTTGTAAGGATACATAATTCCTTCACTGTTTGGTGGTTTTCTTTTAACATTATTCAAATAACTTCTAAAAACTTTAGTTTGTTTATCATTTGGAATAACTACTCCATTGGTGAAACTTTTTTCTCATGGTTTATTAAATTCGTTCGACACATCATGTCCGCTTGCTAACTGAACGTAATCTTCTACACTTATCTTATCATTAGAATAACCTTTAAACGTTTTCTTTTCTTTTAAGACACCATCAGAAGTCAAAACGATGTTGTATTTGACGTTTGGTGCTAAATATAAACCAAATATAATTCCACCGTCACCGTAATCGTTTTTACCTTTGCAATAGTCTTTTTCGGAGACCAAACCAGCTCTGTTTAGTTTTTTCCAATTTTTGGATGAAATGTACAAACTATCGGTGTCGGTATAGTAAATTTCGGGTTTATAAAATCCATTTATGACGTGAATGAAATTGTTTATTATTTTTTTACTGTGAGATAAAACGAATGATCCCAAATGACTAGGTGTTAGTCGTGTAGATTTACTATCTTCGGTCTCTTTTTCTTCAATTTCTGTTTCAACAATATATTGAGTATCATTAATTTTCTCATAGGTTTTAACGCGTGAATCAAAGTTGGCCTGTAAGGTTGCTTCATTCCATAAATGTCTAGTTGTGAATATATCTTTCTGAATTGATTTACCATACAAGGAATTACCTAATAATTTCATGCAATTACTACCCACGATTTTACCTTCTCGTTTATATTTATTTCTTAGATCTCTCAAAATTAAGATATAATCTCTATAGGGTGGAGTTTTAAAATTTTCTTCGTAAACTATACCATCTAATATTCTAATAATTCGTCCACCGGCTTTCACTATTTCTTGAATATCGACCGATGTTAAAACGTCGTGACAGAAACCATTTCTGAACCTGATTTTGTTGCCAGTTTCCTTTTTACCTTCTTTATTCGTGAAAGTGATTTTATCTTTAGCTGGTATCGGTTGGAAGAACATGTTTTTGGGATAGTCAAACCACACTGTTAAAATAGCTGTTCTAGGTCTGAATTTTTGTTTATTGAAGAGTTTCACAAATTCTTTTTCTTCTTCTGGTAGAAACGATCTTCCACTTTCCGCTCTCGGATATTCACGGTCTAAATCCGACATGGCGGAAGCGTATAAACCGTTAGCATCAAATGCCATAAGTTTAGTACATTCTATTATTTTAAGTCTCGAATGAACCTCCGGTTTGTCTTTTGTGCTTGCGCTGTATTCTTTGAATAAATCAATTATGTTATTACTTTCAAGTTCTGTATATATTTAATACGTTACAAATTTCATCCATTTTGTTCGTTTCAAATGATTTTCTATTTGCCGAAACTCTTCCTCCTTTAATAGATCGTCTGATAAAATTTCTTATAAAAGGATTTGTGTGCGAATAAACTTTTTCTATATTTTCTTTTTCGGTATGTTTCGCAACCATTCTAGTAGTTTCATACCATTCTTCTTCCACCATTTCTTTATCGTAATGATATAAATAATACCAACCCTTTAAAGATAAAGATGGAGCCGTTAGATTATTGGACATATTCTGGTTTACAACTTCTTTCGTGACTTGGTTGTATTTTTTCAAACAAGCTCCCAAACAGAGAGTGTCTCTCTTGACGTAAGGTTCCCATTCGTGTCTCAATTCCTCCCAGTTGTCTTGCGTGTATTTAGCGATATCTACGTCGGCAATCTTTCTCAAATTCGCGGGAAGATTGGAAGAATTTCCCCATGCAGCCAAACTAGAGGATTCGTGTTGATAGGAACACGTGAAATTAATATGTTGTAAATAATTACCCTTTATTTCTTTCTGTCTTTTCCATTTTTTCTGTAAATCTTCATCCGTGTATGGATTAGATAAAGGAAAATATAGAATTCCTCTGGGTGTTTTTAAAGGGCAATGCGTTAGTTTTTTTGCATTTTTAAGCACGATCCAGTTGTCGAATCCACTGCCGTTATGAGAAATTAATATTAATCTCTTTCTATCATATTGACCTAAATATTTCAACATTTGATCTATGCAATCTGTACCTACAAATATTTCTACTACATTCATTAGTTTATCATAAAATTCTTCTGGAAGGGGATCTGATGACTTTAAATCTGGAAAGAGATTATTTATTCTGTTTAACATTTTTCTTACTTTTTCTAAATTAATTAAAGTGCAGGCATAAGGAATTGCTCTTCGCGTGTCTTTTTCTGAATACGTTTCGCAATCCCAAGCGAATAACGCATCATCACTCATACTCGAAAGCACGTTTAGTTTGAGGGGTGAAACCTATGTTACTGCGTTGTCGTCTCTACACGTTTTCCACACCTGTTCGTAATTGTCTTCTATTTCTTGAATTCCCAAACTTTTTTGGCTTCTTCTAATCAAACAGAAATGCGAGTTGTGTAAGTACAAAACCCAATCTAATTCATCGTGAACGTCTCTGGGGTGAAAATGTCTGTTTTTGGGATCATAAATTTGAAACGAAGTGTTGAATTTCTTGTTGAATTCATTCATTCTAGCACAAGTCATCACTCCTTTTCTATTTGCTTTTGAAAACCCGTTGGTGTATTCTTGAAATTTACACGTTAAATCTTTGTTCAAAACACGATTGACGCATTTGATAAAACAGTGACCATCTGTAGGTATGTAACAATTTTCGCCTTCGTATTCATTGATCTTTTTACGCAGATCAGTTCCTCCTCTACCAACTCTCGATCTTTTGATTTCTTGGAAATTGTCTTTCATTAAAATTATTTTTCCTGTAAAATACCAATCGGAAGCATCCGATTTTTTGTCCATATTTGAAAAGATATTGTGAAAGGTTTTGGCATTGAAACCGAGGAGTGACATGTATTGTCTGTGATTCCCTTCCTCGACTATCTCTCCATCTATTTTAATTTGGCCTTTGAATGTTTTAAATTTATCAGAGATAGCCTTGATAACATCGGAAAATAGGGCGTTTTCTATCAATGTTTCATCGTGTTCGATTTTATTCATATTTTTTTAAGTGTATATTTTTGATTATTTCTTTATTTTGACCGCTGATATTTCTGTATGGAATTTGTCCAAAATTTCGTTGAATTCTTGTAATTCATCAACTGTTATGTTCTTGTCTTCTCTCGATCTTTCGAAAAAGATGTACAATTGATTAAGATACATATTCAAGATATCCGTTTTCTTTTTATAATGAGCTTTCTTTTTGCTCGTGAAACCTAAAGTGATGAGACCGCAAGAAGTCGTTTGAACGGCTGTTAATGCAGCCAATACGGTTGGGACGATGACCGGAAGCATTAATCCACCAGTCACGGCCGTTGCCACCGTTACTCTTACCGTTAGAACTGTGCTCGCTGTTTTGAAAAAAGAATCGATTCTACTCCATGTTTTCCTGCATGAATTGTACTGTCTCAACTCTATTTTCAACTCTTCTTGTTTGTCTATCATGTATTGTTGTCTGCTTTCGAGTTCCATTTTTTAAGTCGTTAAATTAAGTGAATTTCCGATAGATAGAACCACGGAATATCATATAGAGCGTGCTTGTTTGGCCTAGCATTATTATATTTGCGGGTATTAAAAGTAAAAACATTTACGCGTACTAACGACATTTCTTTTTTCGTATGGTCCTCTTTAAGATGATAGGAATATTTTATTTTTTCTTTTTCGATGTTTATCTTGGCTCTAGAAATAAAACCACCACCTTCAAGGATGGAGTCGGAACCTTCGGCAAACGATATATGTACTATAAACTCTCTTTCTTGTTGACTTTTATGAACATCGATCGAGGTGTATTTTCCACCTAAAACAAAATACAGTTTTACGTATTCAAAGCCTGTTGTTCGTAAAAACTCGTGACTGCTCGATTCTATTGGTCCGGGTACGTATACGGGTATTATAAGTGATGGTGGAATTTTGACAATGTTGGTTAATGGTGGATTTTCCGTCTCCAATATCATATCCAAATCTTTGATTCCAATGATATCCTTATCATTTTCCACTTCCATTTTAAAGGTGTCTACATATTTACCATTTTTCGTTTCAATTTCCTGATCCCTTTAATCAATCAAACGTATATTCTCTTCCAAATTACCATCATTGAATAATGAAATATGTTTGACGGCCTTACCGGTTTGTTTGAAGACTACTTTATTGACTCTAACCTTCATGGGAAACTCTATTTGAATCAGACAATTACCTCGAAAAGAAAACTCTTGAGTTTCGCCGATATCGAATACGTTTTTAGGTTCTCCGTATTCGAGAGAACCCACTTTTATTTCTGCTTTGAATCCGTATTTGTTTGATTTATAAATTTGGTCTTTTCTATCGAAGACAGTGTCACTTTCGAATGGAAGATTGAAATAATACGATTTGTCCGTGACAATAGCTTCTAATTTGCTCAACTTTCTCTCTTGTCTCAAAAAATCGTCATGAATTCTAGATACCAAAAGATTGACCTGTTCTTTAATATAATTTTTCATATCATCTCGAAATTTATTTTGAAGAAAGTTTTTAATCACACCCACTTCTTTTTCTAATTCGTCCGTGATTTTAGTATCCAAAGCAGTCAATTGTTGTTTCAACGTATCTTTGTCAATGGGAAGTGTGTTAATTATATCTTGAACATCTGATTTTTGCTTCGCGATCTTTTCGTTCAAAATGGATATCGAATTTTGTAACTCGGTTTTGTCCGCGGTCTTGTCTAGTTCTGCTAGCAATTCGCCAAGTTTTCTTTCCAAAGTGGTTAGTTTTCGTTTCAATCTATCCTCGTTTACATTTGGGTTGTCTATTAAACGTTGGACGTCTATTTTTACCTTCGTAATCTTATCGTCTAATTTAGATATCAACTGACTTGTTTTATCAACTTGAATAAGACGTTTCAAACGTTTTTAACTCTTGTTGTAGTTTGGGTTCGTCCACAAGATTTTTAATATTTCGTCTGATGAATCTTTTCACGTCATTTATTCTATTTTCAACATGGTCCTTATCTATTTGAATTGCGTTTATTTGATCCAGTAAATATTTCTTGTTCACGGCATCGTTATCGTTTCCTGGAAACTTTAAATTAGGTATTTTGAAATTGTTCATATCGATATCCCCTTGTAAGGTGTCTCCGATTTGATCCACGAAAAAAGGTTTCGCTTTGTTTCTAAACGCCGTAGAACTCATGGGATTTTTAGATTCTAGAGGTAAACTTGTTTGCCATTTTTATTGAGTTAAATTTATTATAATTTCTTCAAACTTTTCTCCCAAACTCAACCGATATAAAACCCAAAGCGACAGCTGACCACACAGCTTTTGTCCTGGTATTTGAATTTGAAACGTGGAACATTTGATTGGTTTGCTAGTCAATTTCGTTATCTCTTCTGTCGGTTCTAGACCGAAAGAATCAAAGAAATAAAAGTTATTCGAAGAATCTTTGTGTAAAGCAGAGTGATGAACTCCTTTTTGATCCGACGTGTGAATGTTTGTGATGGCGTAAAATTTACCTTTCTTGTATTTCAGTTCATCAATTTCATCTCGCATGCAATAATAAAACGGCGAGACGTTCAACTCCTTGGCCCATTCCACAAGTTGAAAATTTGTGGTCGTGTCTTTTCCGTATTTATCGAGAAACGCATTCATTTTTTGAGTTGATTTTTTTTAGGTGTTTTTCGAAGTAGGCGGAAAGTATTGCTGAAGACCCAATTGACGAAATATATACGTAGTTTGTGTTTGAAAAAACTTGTATAACATTCCGATAAAACACATTCAGTAATATTTTGAAGATAAATTTACATTTAAATTTAAAAAATCTTAATTTAAGAGAGCGTAAATGCTTGTCGACATCTAAATTTCTTAACATTTCATCTAAATCTTCATTTTCGAGATTCATTTTTAAAAGTCAGTTTTTTGAAGTTCATTTTGATAAAACCTTCCTATGATTTGTTCTTTGTCTTGATCGATCAATTCATACGTGGGAGGTGATGTGTTGTTTACTTTATCAACGATGAATATCTCGTTAGTCCAATAGCCGACGTAACCTTTCTGAAACAATGATTTATATTTAAAAATACGAACTCGATCTTCAACTTTGAATTTGGGTTTAATATTCAAATTGCTTATCTCGTTTTCAAAGTTGTTTCGAGTGTTGACGGACTTTATGATATTCGGGTTATTAGAGGCTTGGGATGGCGTCACACCTATAGACGAATGTATTTTGTTATTGTATTCGTCGACAACAACCGGTAATATTTTAAGCCATTTTTGAGATTTCAATTCCGTGAATTTCTTGAATAATTTGCTTTTAAGAGTCCTGTTGAATCTTTCTATCACTATGGCTTTACCTTCGTTATGCGTGCTGTAAATTTCAAACCCCAGAGATTTCACATTTCTGTTGTAGAATTCGCTTCCTTTATCAACCCACAACTTTAGGGGTTGTCTGTCGGATTGTTTCATTATGGTTTCGAATGCTTGTTTGACAGTCAGGCCCGATTTGTTTTTCAAGGGAAAGACCCAAGCGTATCTCGTGTATATGTCGATCACCGTCAAACAATACTTGTACCCTCTCTCGACTGGCATGTTGATTAAATCGGCTGACCAAATTTCATCTTTATCAAAAACTTTGACTTTGAGGTTTTTTCGAAATTCTTTGTGAATCTCTTCTGCTATGCCCATACCCAATTTCAATTTTGCCTTCAAGAGTTTTATGATAAGAGCCCTTTGTAATTTCTCTTTGAAAGTGGGATCGGGAATATTTTCGAGTTCGTCTATCATTTGTTTGTCTGCTTGGTGTCTGAATGTCACGTCTTTATTTCTGTACAGTATGTCGTATTTGAGCGCTGCTGCGTCAACTCTATTAACGGGTTCTTCCCCTGGTTTGGGAATATCATTTTCGTCTAAACGCAGATCTAACCTAGTGCCTGGACCTGTATAATTGTGCCCTGGGAGATGTTTTTCTCCGGGATATTTTGCCCATGGGAATCCAGGAAGAGAACCCAATGACTTTTGAATGTCTCCCGCACCGAAATACGTTTTAGGAGGATGGACATTTATTAAAGACATATTTGTTCAATAAACACCATATATTTTTAATACGAAAGAT